AATAAGTGTATATGAAACTCATGCGTTCATTATAAGAATTATTTAAAAAGGTTTAGATGAAATATTAGGCAAGTTAAGCAAAACATTGCATTTTGTCTAAGTCCAATAATCGTACACGTTATGACATTGTTCTCGTATATCTATTTTTAGTGCCTACTACAATTATAGAGGTAACAACAACCAATTACACAAATATTATCTATTTCGCACCCTTTCGTGTAATAAGGCCACATCTGCAAAATTACAGTTTTTCAGCAGAGAAATTTAAAGATTCTACGAAGGACTAGACGGTAACTTTTTTATTCTTGTATGGATAATTGGTTTCAAGTACATAGTTGGTATTATTTTAATTGTTTTCATGTGATAAAAGCACTTCTGATGTATTTAAATACATTGCAAGCTTGAACGTAGTTAATTAGTTTAGATAATTAATTGTATTATAGATTCCATAATTATTAATAAACATAATTGTTACACAATATTTTTATCTTAAAATTAATTAAATTATAATTTTTATAATTATTAAACATTTTTATTACTATTACATTTAATTTCATTTCATTTATTGCAATTCACATTTTAATAAACTAAGGCTCGTATTCCAGAACTGTACTCAATGCTCAAGTCAGGATTTGAGCAGACTTGAGTATGATTTCAAGCACTAAAAATACGACCCTAATGGCAAGGACTTGAGTATGATTTCTAGTGCTTTGAATCATACTCAAGTCCTGACTTGAGCATTGAGTAGAGTTCTAGAATACGACCCTTAGATACATGTGATACGCTGTTAGGGCGTAGCACAATTTAAACTTAAACCTAATTATACAATTATTTTAACATATATTATAATATATATTATTCGTACACTTATTGCTAATAATAATTTTTACTGAATTGTATTTTCAATTATTACCTAAATTTCATATAGACATGAAATCAATTTCAAATACATTTATCGCCAAAAAATTCAGACATATTATAATAGGTTTTTTTGTTTAGAAATTATTTTAAGCGTTTTTCAAAGACCGTGTCTTTATCCAAATTTTTGATATAATTTGGGATGTGGTTATATACTTTTATTAACATAGGGTGTGGTGCACAAGAAAATAATTTTAGGCTAGAGGGAGAAAGTTTAAGCTTGTTATGGTAACGATTATTACGTCTTATTAATTTAATCGGAGAGTATAAATCTGCGTCTTTTTTAACGAACTTACAGGCTTCTAAAATGTGTAGGCACGTTAGAGTCAGTATGTTAAGTTTTGTAAAATACGGTTTACAGGAGTCCGTTTGTTTTATGTTGGTTAATATTCTGATAATTTTTTTTTTGTAGAACAAAAATTTCATGACAATACGAGCTGTTTCCGCACAGTATAACCCCATAGGCTAGTCGCGAGTGGGCAAACGCATAATAAGCTGAGAGGGCCGTTTTTCGGTCGGTAACACTTTTCAGTTGTTTAAGAGCATATATAAGTGAAAATAAACGGCTAGATAATTTTTGAACATAGGGTTATTTATTTTTTTTTTTTTTTCAATTTATGTGGGTATCTATTTCAATACCCAACATAGTTGCCGAATCTACCATTTCTAATTTGTTTGATTTTGTATATATATAGTTGATATCCAAAGCAAGTTTTTGGCGGTTTGTATGATCACCGTATGGCTTTATTTTACCAGGGGTGCGATATGCTCCAAGATTGAATCTGCCTGCGACTGTGTTTCCCAGCACGTACAACTCGAGCATTTTTAAGGTGCGACTGCATAGGCATCTTCTGGCCGAGCTTGTTTCATCGTAGATCCTATCTTTGCCCCAGGGCTATATAGTGGTCAAGAGCAAGTCCATTTAATTTACTAAAAAAGTATCATAATTTAATTATTTGCAGGCAGTGAACAGTCAGTTGCTTTTGATAATATATCTGTAGACAAATTGCCAAAAAAGGATAATATATTTGTTTCAATAAGTGGTGTTGCGGATCGTGACTAAAACTGTATTTAAACGACAGGTTACAGGGAGTGAACGTCAATGGTACAAGATCTCCAAAGTCTGTATTTAGCATTGGCGTCCCTCAAGGTTCTATTGTATGCCCAATTTTATTTTATATTTAAATTAATAAGTAAACTAGCCTCGAGGAGTTATTGAACATGAGATACTATTGTTTACTAATGTTCATTATTATTTAAAGACAAGAGGCAGCAATATATCCCAGTCAATGGTAGTGGTGGTAGATAGTAGTAGATTACTTTGTAGCTAATAGCCTTTTTCTCTATCAGATAAAATTGCGTAATACTTATATTGCCTAGAGTCCTAGACAAACAACCGCAAACGTTATTCTTTCAAATGAAAAATTCAACCTTGCAAAAAATATAACCTTAAATACCAAAACGAAAAAGAGTTCACAAGTAAATACAAAAAACCGCCAACATTAATACTTATTCCGCTTGCTCAAAGACGCGAAGTGGGTCTTGGCTTCCGATAAGAGTCTGCACCAGCACGCCCTATCTTGTGCGATCTCCTTCCATTTCTTTGCGTGCAGGACGTTGAGGTTTTCCCATTTCGTGCCACCGTCGGTATTAGGGCCGACAAGCCGATGTTTAAGGCGCTAGGAGGTCCCATGTACGCCCTTTTCGCCACCATATGAGTTGGAATTATGATAGTGTATTTTATGTTAAAAAGAATGTGTTTATGTGTATTAACATAACAATACGAGTTGAAAACAATACCGTCACTAAACGAAACTCTCGCTTTTTCAAACTTAAACTTCTGAAAGCCGCATTGACATACAGGTTTGAATTTCATTTAAATAATTGATAGATTCAGGTGTTATTTTGCGGAAGTCCATGTTAATAAAAATGGAAGTAAATTAGCGGATACATAACGGATATTCGGAGCAGCAAATTAATTTACTTCAATTTTTATTTTCCTTGCAGATTGTCGATTGCCTACACTACATCTAGTTACTTTTATTTTACGCACATCAGTACAAAAATGTTTTCTAACAGTGCGACTCTACAAATAAAATGAACTATAACAAACGACGATCACTAACTACGGTGTTTTACCACGATATGTGTTCTTTTTGTTTTTGTGATATTTCGGAACACACTCCGTGGTCTCGGTTTGACTCGCCAGTGGCAGATGACAGCTTTAAGAGTACATATCTCCTGTCTACCCTCTTTCGTTGTCGACGACTACCTTCATAGCGATTAATTGTGGTATTATCATTGTCACTCACTTTTTTCCGAAAAACCACACTCCCTGTAGCTACAAGCGAAACTATAGTCAAAATATTTTATTATTGTGGTCAACACTAAATATTTCTTCTTTATCTTACAATCCATATTGCGAACTTTAACGTTTTCGTACCAAGGCATAAAAATTTACGATAATTTTGTTTGGGGCGTCAACTACACCATTTACTAACATCAGCGCCATCTGTTTTATTTGCACCGTACTACCAAAATATTTTGAGTTCACTTCTTGCAGATTGTTATCGATATCGTGTCGTGTTATCTAAACGGAGAAATCTATATGCTCAGCTTATAATTAATCCTAGTGGCTAGAAAAGAAAATCTCTTCCATCTGTTCACAAATACACTACGCAACTCACTCATCATGGGATTAAAGCGATATGGTATATTACACGATCGATAGGACAGTTACGTCACCCGTAACTATAGGCAGTTACGTCTTGTTAGACAATCTCTCTATTGTTATCGCATTTGTTAGAGCATGGGTTTTCTTTCTTTCTTAGTTCGTACGCTTGGTTGCATAGATGAGTTTTAGATGTACCTGTATTTTTTATCCGTGTTACTGCTCCGTGTAATAGACTCTATGCAAGTATAGATAAAATAAATAACCCATACGACGTTTAACTGTACACTATAATATCTATCATCATTCTTACGTACGCAAAACAGATATTACTACAATATATTACAAATAACACACAGATCGGATTTCCATCGACTGCTGGTAGATTGACCGCATGTTTTGCAGTTAATGCGTGAAGTCGTAATCAACTTCATGCAGCCGAGACCACAACTGCAAACATACTGTCAAATATAGCAGCCTTACATTTAAATGTAAAAGAATACGAACAAAAGACAAGTATATGTCCCAATTTTTGGCATGGGTTTCCTCTAAACAACGAATGCAGGCCACAGACTGCTAAGTACAAGAACAGTAAACTACACTAAACCGCGAACACTCAGTGGTAATTGAACCCAGAACCTTTTCATAGGACACAAGCAGTTTCTGAACTAAGCAGTCGCTGTTGTACTTTATTAGTAACTATAATTGTAACATAACAACAAAGTATTATAAACATACATTCGATAGATGTTGTGACGATATACGAGTTTTTATAAACGTCAAAACTTTATCACAAGGAAATGCATCCTCTGTTGCTCTTTTACACAATGCACATACAGATAATATTGTTATTATTATCAACACTGTAGAAGAGATAGCTCAGTGGTAGAGCACAGGGGCCATTGTGATTCCAGATTGAAGTTTGACTGCCTGCTTTTGTAATATTTTAGATGGGAATTGGAAATACGTTTTTATTTTGTTGCGTTGCATTAATTCCTTTTAGATGCATACACCTGTCTCCTTTTTTTTTTCTTTCCAATCACCTTTTCCATGTTTTATAGCTTATATCACGGAAGAAAAAACAATGAAAGTACAAGCCTCGATTATTACCAGTACTGCTGTCGCCAAAACCGCACATTCATAATTTTTAACAATATGAAACCTTGGTAATGAATCGTAGTTTCTAATTTAAAAAGAAGTACAAATTCTGGACTGTTACTACCAGCGGTAGTATTTTTTAATTATCCATCTAGAACATAATGCTTTCCCTTTTACTCCTTTGTTTTATGTCCTTATCGAGCAATCTTTGACACAGACATCGAGGTCATTGTGCCATTTTCCGCGCAATCTCTCGCTTACTATTCGATGGCAATGGAAGTTATTAAAATGTGCTTATTTTGTGTGATTCCAGGCAGAAGATCTGTGACTCTATAGAGATCCCGATCCTAACGCGATGCTGCTTCTGCTTCCCTCTGCGAAAAGGGCTCATCGCCTTCGCTTATGTCAACTTAGTAAGTTTTGGGTTTAATTTAATTTCTTATGACGTTGTATCATACTGAGATTTTATTAACACTATTATTAAAAAGCATATGATCTATGCATAAATATGTGTGAGAGTATACGAGGTGTGGCTATTAAATAACGAGACTGACACTACTACAGAAGACCCCAAACGCCAGCGACTGACAGCTGTTTATCGTGAAGCCTTCTCTTTCAAATTCAGTGGACACTGTTGTTTCTGTAAACATAGCACTATAGCCGTAGCGTTTGTTCGCATTGTAGTAGTTTTTATGTTTAAAACTTATAATTTATTTATTTATTTATTTATTTATTTATTTATTTATTTATTTATTTATTTATTTATTTATTTATTTATTTATAATATACAACTTTTTTGACTTTATTGACAAAAATGTATCGCAATGATATTTTTGAGTGGTTCAAGCATTTGTAAGATGGTCCAGAAGACATTCAAGGCGTTAATAACAGATGATAATATCGAAAAAATCGATAAACTGATTCGATCTGACCGACTGTTCGTTTTAAGTAATCGTGCGATTTCTGAAAGTGTAGTAATTGATGAAGAATCCGTTAATGTTGCCGATTAACATAACAAATTTTAACAGGCGAAAACTGTGTGCCAAAAAGTGCTTAAAATTCTCACGTTTGCACAACAAGACGGTCGCAGAAATATTATGCCAGTGTTAGAGCATCCGCCTTAATCACCGGAGTTTGCACCGTGTGACTTGTCTGTTTCCTAAAGGGAAATCTGCATTAAAAGTCACAAGATTCGAGTCCGTTGAAGCTGTGGAACAAAAGCGTCACGCGTCCTGAAGGAGCTGACAGAAGAAGACTTCCACCACTGTTTCGAACAATGAAAGATTTACATGGAGCGTTGCACGGATTGAGGAGGGTGTATATTGAAGTAAATATGTATGAAATCAAAGTAAAATGTTTGACAGGGTCAGTCTCGTTATTTAATGGACATAATTAGAGGAACGTTAAAAAAGTACTGAATTGTGATAACCGTGCACCGGCCAAGTTTGAATTGTAAAAAGAAAAACTTCAATCATCATTTGGTTTGTATTAAATATTTTGGTATTTGCGGCCATTGGATCGATTATGAACGTTATAATCATAATTTAACCTTTTTCAGTATTCATGTATGTCATTGAGTATATTATATTTCACATCATTCCTTTTTATTATGTAAAAAAATACCCAGTTACGTATAAAAAATACCAAATACATATCATAAAACTTAGTATTTAAAGCTAGTAATTATCTTATCCATGGGTAATGAATACTATTAACATCGGTTAACTTTCTTTATTCAAATCAATTCGCTTCTTTTTTCTTTACAAATGATGACTATCTAACAAACGGGCGGCCTAAGGTCATTCATACCCGTTTTGAAGGAGAACAGGGCTGGTCATAATTTAACATCGAGTTCAAGTTTAACTAAACATGTAGGTATACTCGTAGATATCATACATACTTCTATGTGGAACTGGGCAGTATTTAATTACTTATAATTAATTGTACGTATTTGAAATACAAATGTATTTCAGTTACTACTTAAAAATATGTACACTTTTAACATCCGTCGCAGTCACCGGTCTAGTTAGGTAGCTATCAAAATTTTAAACAGGTTATTTTTAATTCGAAAGCTCATTTAATCGGAATAATTCGTCGCTACGTTTGATGGATGCCTGTTCAGCGGTTTTAACATCATCACCTCTTTTCTCAGCTAGTGTAGATCTCGGAAAAAAATGTTTATATTATTTCCTTTATCCTATCGACTTGAAATTTGATATGCCAGTGTAATTCGATGACATTACAGTAATATGGTAACCTTAATCTAATACCGCAACCAGTCTGCTAACTACTTGACACTTCAACTACTCACAGTAGGTAGAATTTTCGTCTTTGGGCTCTGATTGAAATGATTTCGACGAGTTGGCTTTTGGAGTAGTGTACTCTGTTTTGCAATGGGTTTTTTAATAAGTCTCTCTTCAGTGACATTCTAAAAATAGTAATTGGAAAAACCGCTAGGCTTCAAGTCTCGCTTCCTGTCTGGTTCGATGGACTTGCTAGTCCAATTAAGTATTATTTTATTAACATACATTTTTTTGGATAATCGATCGATCCTTCTGTAAACTCATTGAGTAGAAGATTAGGCTGACGCAGGAAGCGCCTATTATCGCAATGTCGATATCCCGTTATTTTACAACAACAAAGGCGTAAGGACAAACCGCTTGCCAAGAGTATTCGTGTAACCCAAAAACAAACCTGCTCGGCTTATCGCAAACACTATAAATGATCTGGACCTTATTCTTGTATCGATGGCGTACACTATCCTATTGTGTCTCAGACCTCAGTTACGTCGACGCTTGTGTGTTTCACGCTTTATTAGTGTTCAGATACTGGCTATCCTCGAGCCGACAACAACGGCAACGTTATCGTTAAAACGCTTTCAATTCGAGCAGCATAAGCCGGAAACCAGAAGGCTGGTAGCTACTTCTGCTGGAGTTTAGCTATCCAAAAGGGTTTCCTCTTTGATAGTACGATACTACAACGAAAGATTCTTGTATTTCTTGTCGTCTATATTAAGCAGGTCTAGCAAATAATTTTCAATACTGAATGGTATATAAAAAATAAATATTGAAATTTTTACTTTGCAGGTCTTAACAGTAGTCGTGACGAGCCTTCTGTCGATGTACATCTCGTACATCCGCAACTCGGAAGAGCAAGATCTGACGGAGTACCCTCGGCTCATAGCTGACACCACTGGTCTCGTTATCGAGTGTGTCATGACTATCAGCTTCATCGTTGCTCTTCACAAGGTCAGTGTGATATGTAACCTAGATAAGATCAACAACATCAGGGGACAAAACCCGAAGGAGCTTCTTCAGCTTATCCCTGATACCACTGACCTAATTATTGATTGCGTCATGACCATCACGTCCATTATCGCTTTTTAATGTATGTTGACTTCAAAAAAGGAGGAGGTTCTCAATTCGACTGTATGTTTTTTTTTGGTATGTATGTTAAGCGATAAATTTATGAACCGATTTTGATGATTCTTTTTTGTTGGAAAGAGGGTACCTCAGTAGTGGGTCCCATTTAAATTTGAAGAAAATAGTCCACCTCCAAAGGTGGCAAACTAGGGGATAAATGACTTTTGAGGTCGGTTTTTAGTACTTTGTATTAACAATTTTTTAGTTCTCCACCACGAATGTTAAATAAATTCAGGGTAAAATAAGATCACTTCTATGATGTTCACTGGTCATAGGGTAAGTAATATAGGGCAATTTACACTCAGTTTTTGTACCACTTCGATGGCCTCGATCCTCTCGGTTTTGGTGACAGATGTCTACCATGACTGTCCCAACTTTGCGTCCGGTGCTCGCGTCTATTTCATTTAATATCAAACCATAATTTTTAATAAAGTAGTGTTGTGTTAACACCAATCTATCTCTGTTACAGAAACACGTCCTCCTAATGAAAATCTATCTTTACTTTGAAATCGTATTCTCTATCATCGGCTTCGTGTACAGCCTCGCCTTCATGACAAAGGAAAGCGCCAGCGAACTGTTTCTGATTCTATTCCAATTAAGTAAGTATTAGGATGAACACATACTCACATATCACACGCAAAGCTGATAATGATGTACATTTGTAACTCTTAGCATAGAAAAAATGTAGTAAGTCTGCAGAACATAGTCACTCCTTGAATTATTTAAAACCAATTCCATTACCGCTAAGAGCTGTCGTTGGAACTCAATTGAGAAATAAATATTCTTAAATATATATCTGTATTAATACCTATACAATCGTTATTTATTTGCAGCTCTTCAAATCTACCTGGTGATCCTGATCTGGAGCTCCATCGTGAAAATGGAGCGAGACGGTACCGTCAAATATGTTCGCGACAGAGATCCAGTCTAGATGGTTATTTTACATTTATATTAGACACAATCTTCAAAGAAGCTATGACAACTTACACGACAGAGTTGGTTACATATTATATTATTTAAAATTATATTTACAGTAATATTTTTACAGACGCAACAACAAATGAGTTGTTACAGTTCATATTTGATGTTTCAACATATATATTTTTTTAAATTTCGAGTCAGGCAAGTAGGCTGCCCTTTAGGGTGCTTCTCTATTTCATAAAACAAGTGATCGTGCCCCATAAAAAGCACTGTTACTATGTGAGACAAATAAAGTGCCTTATAGGTAGTGATTTTATATAAAACAGGGTGCTGGAACCCGTTATACTATAATCGACATGCCACATATTATACATTTTTGGAAGATTATTATATTGTAGAACTAGACGATGCAAACGAGCAAAGTTACCTTTTTTATAAAAAAAAATGTGATTTGTATTGAAATTAATTGTTTAAGTAGATAGTTTGGACACGCCCTGTATGTAATGTAGTGTCTGGAAAAAAATAATTGTGACGTAATTAAAAAACAGATTTTATTATTGATGCTCATCTGACAGACACACAGGGGCAATCAATTTTATTTCAACTCCATTTGTATGGAATCTCACATTCAACGTCCTCCAGGGTGCGCGTGCGAGTGTGAGCAAGGCGCGCGAAACTGACAAATCTGTAGTCGCCACAAAGTTGACTGCTTGTTTTCAGAATCTCTGGTAATGTTTTGTCACGCGCTGCGTCCTTTCATGCAACACGGACGACTTATTTTGAAGTAAAATTCTAAAACACACATTTCCTTCAGAGACACTGCATATCGCAGATTTTATATTTTTAGATATTGCGTGTTATCTCATAAAATTAATGGTAATGTTAAGTTATTTTTATATAAATTTTTTTAGGTTCAATCATAAGTACATATATTATTATTATGTAAATACCTGAATAGTTATTTACGAAGTGTTATGCCAAATAAATACCACTTAGTCTTAGAGGAACGTTTTATTTCCTAAAACATAAATAATCTAATAACAGCTCAATAATGCTTGAAGATATTCAACAAAAAAAATTGCTCACGCATAGTAATGGTAATTCCAGTTTAATGTAAGCTCTTTAATAAAAAAATTAATTTCGCCATTGTTACATTTATTTGTTTGTTTGTTAGTTTGCTGATGTATAATGGTTTGTACGATCTAGCAAATGCGCTGCTGAGGTGCAGTTAACATAAATAGTAGCTGTAAAACTCCTTGTGAAAGAAGTCGTCCAGGGAAGTACTGCCACCATATCCATTTCTGCCACCAAGCAGTAATATGAGCATTATTACTGCGTTCCGGTTTTGAAGGGTAAGGATGCTGGCAAAATTACAGGCACATGTGACTTTTCAACTTGTGTCTCAGGGTGATGGGCGCAGAGGAGTTACAATCTGGGCCCCAAAGTATCTTTGAGAGATAAGTTTAAGGAAATTAACATTCTTACACTAGCCTCACAATACATTTATGAAAATATAATTTATGTTAAAAGGAATAGTAATAATTAATAATTAATAATTCTTTATGAAAAATAGTGACAGACATAACATTAATACGAGGAATAGAAATAAACTAGCTTTTCTTGATAGTCGTCTTCACAAAGTCAAAAAATCATTTAAGGGGCAATGTATACGCTTCTATAACAACATTCCGGTTGATATACAAAATTTGCCTTTCACGAGGTTTAAAACTATAGTGAAACAAAAACTTTATACTAAAGGTTATTATACAACTTCTGCGTACTTGGATGACAAAAATCCGTGGTAGTACCCGTTTAGCTCATGGAGGTAGTCTCGATCTCTGATGTTTCAAATAAAAAAATATTGTAAATGTTATTTACAAAGAG